CAAAGACAACTCTTCAGTCGTTCGATTTCGATTTCACTGGCCGACATAATGTAAGTGTATCGTGATTGTTTCAATATATTTACCAGTACCATCAACACCTTGAAATTTTGGATGCTTATTTTCTTGCAAAAATTTTAATGACGCACTAACAGCCGGTAAAAAAAATGGACCACACGGTTGACATTCATGCTTTCAAAATTTGTGGGCCATAAATGTTTTTTAATTAAATATCTTACAGATTTTATAGGCAAATCTTTTTGAGAATTTGTTCAGGTAATAATCAGAAGAAATCATACCTTCACTAGAATTCATTTCACGTTTTAAAAATAGATTTCTTGCATTTTTTAGAGCGTGAGAGAAATCGAAACTTAAAAATATGGGCATTGGGGCCAAAAATGTAAGAGGAATGCAATGTAGAATGGCACCGTTATCGCCACTAAGAATTTTTAAAAGTTTAACATTTACAGAAAAGTCGTCTGTTACAATTCGTAACACAATAAATCCACAAGAAGTAAGAGGTTTCAAAACTTTTAAAGTTAATTCATGATAAGTCTCTGATGCTAAGTGACCATGAAAAAAGTATCCAGCTGGAATGGTATATCTAGTGCTTAACCTGTGAATAACATAACATAACATTTTGTTTGCTATGTCTGGTTTTGGCTTACAGTTGACGCACTACTGCTACTCAAGCCATATATACAATCCTCCGATCGACTATAGAACATCTTCTCTCGTATAGAGATGTCATCTATTATTAAGGAGCAGACTCGTTCTATTGGATTTTTTAAATTGGCAATTTCAGCTTGCAATCTTTCTTTTATCAACCCCGATGTTCCATTAAAGGGCCCCAAGTATCGCGGAATTGTAATGTTGGACGGTAATTTTGATAAATGTTTTCTTCCAAATTCATATCCTTTTGGAGAACAAAATCTCCAGACGGTACACAGTCGCACAAACGGTTCTGACCATCCAGGAACTTTTCGAGCATAATTTTTAAGAAAATCCAAAAGAAATATCGCCTTTTCTTCGTTTTTTTTCTGCATCGTCATAAAGTCTACGTAACATTTTGAAGATTCAGTTTTTCGTGTTTTCTATTTCAAGGTCTTTTAATTTTCCGAAACATTTTTTGTATTTTTGTGTCATTCTTCTTAACTTTAAATTTAGGATTTTACAATGATATCTCAGAACATCCTTTATCTTTGGTTAATAGAACTAACTTGAATAAATTTAGAGTTATTTTTGTCTTGACAGATAGGCTCAACATCAGGAATATGCAACTCTTCAACATTGTTTTTGTACAAATTTAGAAGGGACTGTTGCTGCAGTTAATCTTCTTTTGCCAGAAATATTTATGCAGTTCGTTTCAAAATGTTTATACGAGCCCTAACAACTAAATATTGGGACGACAATAATTTTTTATAAAAAAATCACCACGAACTTTTTAACAAAAATGTAATTTATTTTAGATAATTACAATTTTAAAATTAATTCGTTTTTCAAAGCTGTTAATGCTTACAGCACAATAAATACTGATTTCTAACTCAAACACTGACATAAAACTCTAAAACATTTTGTGACACATAAATATTGGGACAAAGCAAATTCAGTAACTGGCCACATCTCCTTTTGCCTTAATAACTGCAGGAATTCTTGCCATCATACTTTCAACTAATTTTCTGCAATACACAGGACTTATTATCGTATCCCACACTCGCTAAATTTCCTGTTGAAGATTGACAATCGCTTGTCACGGATGATTTCCTAAATATTTTTTTATTTCACCCCATACCGTCTCTACTAGATTAGGATCTGGGCTATTCGATGGTCAGGGCAATACATTTATATTATTATTCTTTGTAATAAGTGTTGTAGGTGTGTAACTTGAAGCATCATCCTGTTGAAAAATATAATTACCAACAGGATAGATTGCTTCAATACTTGTTAATATTTTTTTACAGAGACTCTTGACATTTGTTTGCATTTGTAATTTCCCTTCAATGAATGTTGTTAACAGGTCTTTAAATTCCGTTAATAGACATGCACCCCCAAACCATTTTTGAGTTTGCAAACTTGACTGTTTGTTTGGGATAATCCATATTAAAATTCCGTTTTTGTTTTAATAACTCTTTTGCGACTATCATCTCACCTAGACATCAAATTTGGACTCAGCGTTAGATATTACCTTTCTCCAGTTTTTATTTTGGCCATATTAACCGATTTTCTTGTGAACAGTTGCTAATTGTGGTTTTACTTTAGCCCAAAATAATATAAATAAATAATAAAGTCCATCAAAGATAGCTTTATTTAAGATTTACAATGTAAAAACCAGGGCCTGTTTTGTGTATCCATTCGCGACAATATTCTCTTGAAATTTTACTTTTTATTCCTATGGTACCTCTGTGTGCGTAATATTTTACGATGTTACCCATCGACGACTAAGCTATTTGGAACAAATCTGCACTTTTTCTCATCGATTTTCCCTTGCAGTACATCGAAATTATTATTTTCAAAACTTTTACTAAAAAACTAGCACACCGCTAAGTATTTTTTTCTAAATTAAACCAATACTATATGAAATGCTAGGATCCCTACAATAATGGCAGCATTTACCAGCTACTGCGTTTGTATTTACATGGTATACTTACCAAATTTTCTCTGGTGTCCCAACATTTAAATGTCAGTAAAAATCACACATTTTTTATTTAGGTGACAATTTTTGCGCTCTAAGAAAATTTATTAATTTGCAAAATACCTCACTCTCTGCCAAAATAGATGCCCTATAGTAAAAATTTGCATTTAGTCCAAACGAATTCAATGATATCAAGAATATGTACCGGACTTTTTTTGAGAAACTGTCTGTCCCAATATTTAGTTGTTAGGGTTCGTATCATAGAGCACTTTTTTTTAGTTTCGAGGTGTGTAGTAAGTAATAGTGCATATTATTAATCGGAATCCACAAAATACGTATTAGTCGAAAGTACCTTTTTATTTTGAGAACACATTTCGGTAATATAGCTAGTTCCTTACCCCTTTACAAAATATCCCGCATTGGATTTAAAGTATTCAAACTAATGGACAGTGTGAATAAAAATTGAACAAGGGATTTTTTCAGAAAACTTAAAACAAAAGTCTTTGCACAGTAAAAAATGCAGGTTTTTCTTATAAAGCCTAGCCACTGATTAAAAATGTTCATTAGGAAGCATTTAGCATAAGGAAACATTCACTGCCATGTGTTAATCTGCAAGGCTATTTTGCGTTTCTTTTTGTCTAATAAAAAATACTTATTTTATTTCTAGAAATTTACTTACTTTAAAACTTACGTTTAATAATTACCACAAAATTTGTGCAGAACTTCTATCCATTTTTTCGGCAACTGAGGGTTACTAGGAATTTCAAAAAGGCTTCCAATTTTCTCCCCGCAGATTAAACAACATTTTCCCATATTAATTAGAATAAAGGAAAATAGGCCAGTTAATTTTTACTTTGTTTCTTAATAAATTGACGATTCAAATTAATTTCCCGCCAAATTGACAAAAAGGTCCGTTTCCATACAACATAAAAATATTTGGTTACAAAATCGGATGGTAGATGATTTTAGTTAATCCCCAATTTTTTAGGTTATTAGCAACGCGCGGAATTGTATCTCATACGCTAGTGCTGTCGCGTCGATAGTTTGATTACAAATATATTTTTCTTTTGGACTATATCAACATAATATAAGATTTCAAGATCACAAATCTGTGGTCATCTTATGTTCGACTAGCCACCTTTTTTGGGGCAACGGATGATTTACACCTTGCGCTGTTTTTGAAAAGAGTGGATTGTAACTAACGCGGCCCGTAAAGTTTCCAGAGTTATCATATTCTTCTTGAAAATCCCTTCTCCACCTCGCCATGCCAGTTCGTACGCCACTAAGTGAAAAAATTTCCGTTGAAGACCGTTAGGAGTCGTTTCGTTACAAATATTTAATATTTTCTCTATTTCGTCTTGTGTTAAACTTGCAGAACTTCTTTTCCTCTTTTCTAAACATGATTGCAACTCTTTTCTCTTAGCATCTCGAGCATTCCTTGCGCAAGCAAACTCAATGTCTTTAAATGGATCAAATATAAGATTAAATTGCTTGTAATATTTTTCTTGTAAACTCTTAGCAACAGTGTTCCAAAGCGTTTTGACAACAGTTTGTTTGTAGTCTTCCCCACTACCCTTTTTCATATTAAACGCAAAATCTGTTGAACCGAGGTTTCTTCATTCATAGCGTAATTTCTTTCGTTACAAAATTGTGCAAATTGCCGCCATGCGGATTTTCTTGCCTTTTGCGTATTAACAGGGGTCAATTTTGTGACGGCTTTGTCAATTACTGTGGACGAACTTTGCCCAAAACGTGCCATTTTAATATTCAACAAAATCTATTTTTTAATGACACAAACAAAACAAGTTACGTTACCCTGGATACTTATCCATTACAAATATGATTTTTGTCCATCTGTTCATTCATTTTGTTAATTTCATTTTAAAGATTTTTTTTGCGTATCGCAATTCCTACTTTAAATTTTTTTCGGGAAATAGTCTTCCGCATACCCCTCGTCCATGTCCCATTGCCTCCTAATTTTCTCGAGTGCACGAAGTGCACTCGAGAAAATTAAATTGTCGACAATTTGACATGCATTCGGGATATTACTATTGACTATTCCATTCATCTGTCAATTGCTTAAAAAGAGCTAATAAAAATACTACTTTGTGTGGGCGTTACTATGGTATAATGTATTGTACCGGATATATCTTCCCAGGAAGGTATTCAACTGACAATTTTTGACAAAAGAAAGTGGATGACAAATTAATGTATTTTTTTCACTACTAGCCTCAGAAGACTTCATTATATATCGTGTTTGATGCTTGAGAAATTACTGTTCTCCACCTTACCCAATAATGGATTTTTCTCTCCTACTAGTAGATAATGAAAATAATTGACAGTATTGCCATGGTTACCTTAGAATGTCGTAGTTGAGGTGTTTACTTGACATTAAGCTGCCACATTTTATACATTGTTTATTAATGACAGATGATGTAGAACTGGGAAGCTGAAATTTCTTGCGAAATCTTAAATTTGCCGCCTGGACCACACTCCAGCAAGAATGCCACCAGAGCAATCATGAAAAATCTATTGCAGTTATTCTTACGAGCACGCGACATTTTTAACCTCTAATTTGTGTAATCTGTTAAGAAGTAGTATTTTTATAATAAATAATGAAAATGTTAATGTAGAAATAATATTGTGTTATTCGAAAGACAAATGTTTATTAAAAAATTGAGAATAATAAGTATTAACAACAAAGTAACTAAAGATTAACACCTCAACTATAATTATTTGAAATAATAGTTAATTGTGCAGTTGTGGCACGTCATATTGATTCCCGATGTATTGCGATTGGAGGTAAAGTTCTCCACCGGTATAGTTATTTCACTGTTTGTAGCAGCATGTGTGGAAGTAGATGGCATTTCACTACACACTTCTTCACTCCTCTCACATAAAATATTGGAAGAGCTAGGAGCAGGTAGGTTAATGTGATGAGGTGTTCCCTGAATTATATTTGCAATTCTTCTTTTGTCAGTGAGAGACTCCTCAACATACCCTTCAGCAACCATTGAGCTTTTCCAGCCCCCATGGCGTTTGAGTGATAATATGTCCCCACCCATATCAGCCAAAATAGTCGCTGATGTTCGCCTCAATGTATGGCCAGTAAATTTGTCGACATTTGGCAGTTGTAGGTATTGAGCTATTTTATAAGGTGTCTTGCTTATCGTATTATGTCCCATGTTTTGTCTAGTCGGTTTTCCACCTCTAAACCCAATGAAAAGCCTTGCCATATCAGGAGACGGCCTTTTTGTCAAGTATTTTTTAACCACATCAATCCAGGTGGGCTCCATAATGACAAATTTTCGAGAAGATTTTGTTTTTGTTTGAGGGATATTTATGACTATCATATCCTCTCGTGTATCTACATCTGTCATTTTCATGTTGCAGAGCTCATCTGTCCGACAAGCTCCTGCAATTCCTATAATGAGAATAACCTGGAAGCAAATGTAATTTGGCGTTTTTTAAAATCTCATTGTCAATTAACAGAATTACCTTAGACGAAAGAAAAATTTCATCAGGTGCTTCTAAAATAAATTTTGTGATTTGATGCTTCTCAAAAACAGCCGCCTTTTTGGGTGTGTAGGAATCATTTTTGCGTTTGAGAAAAGCAATTACTTTATAATATTTTGAAATATCCACATTTTCTTTTAATTTAAGAGTTTGTTTTAACATAGAAAATGTGGCCCATAGACTGGAAGCTTTTTTGTTTTTAGCTTTTTTTTCCATATAAACAAGAAGGACATTTTCTGACACTTTGGCCACTTTTTTAATTTTGCACCAATCTTTGAATTGTGCGTAAACTTTTAAGTAGAACTCTTTTGATTTTTGTGGCAGTAATTGATCACACTGCACGTTACTTGCTTCTTTTCGGATTTCTGGCGGGGTGCACACACTAGTATCTTCGTCGCTAGTCGACATTTTGCTCTTTATTAAGATTTTTGGTTTAATGTCATTTTTATTCATTTGTTTTCACAGGCTATTTGATTTTCATGGATATCTTAAATTCGTTCCGACTTTTATACATTGTCATTAAAGAAAAGTTAAACAAATGTGCTAGTAGTGAAAAAAATAATATATAAACCACGGGAGAGAACCATTTTATAGCCTCGCTTTCATTATTACCCTCGACGCTACGCGTCTCGGGTATAATTCAGCTCGGCTATAAAAATTGTTTTCTCTCCCTTGGTATATAATTACTATATTTGTAAGTAACATTAAATGTACAATTTGAAAAGGTTACATTCGTACAGTTTTGTAATAAACAAGAAGCTCCACTTATAGTTTTATCATTTACAGTATTGTTTACTTGATTAACTGAATTATTTCGTATTTTATTAATAAATAATTGATTTGTGGTGTTATCGTCGAGTTGCAAATATGGTTTAACTGAGTTAACGTTCTGGTGTCCTGTGATTTTCAAAGCAGACACCGCTGATGGGCGCACAGAATGATTTGATATTCTCCATAGAGATCTCAGACTGGAGAGACGTTAGAGAGAGAGGGTACGGTGACCATTTGAGAGGTCTGAATCGGTAGGCAAAACAGAGCAACTTCCAGTTAAAATTTACTTTTAATTACTCACTTCCTGGTGTGTGTGGCATTTCTGTGCAGTTCTAAAGCGCTTGTTTTCTTACAATCGCAATAATAACAATCATATTCACGATGGTTATATCTTGTTGCGCATTTGGATGCGAGGAGCGGCATCACAAAGGCTGTAATATTTCATTTCATCGGTGAGATATCTGCTGAATAATTTTTTCATACAATCTTTATTTCATTTAATTTCAGTTTTCCGACAAATCTGTTGCTAAGAAAGCAATGGATTGTTGCACTTTAACGAGATAAATTTGTTCGGACGTCTGCGTCAAGAGTGTGTAGCAAACATTTTAAAAATGAGAATTTTCGGCAGTTAACAAATTCTGTTAATCCCACACAACAACTGAGAATTTTAAAAAAGGACGCAGTACCATTCATTTTCAATTTTTCAAAACATAAAAAAAATGAAACAAGGCCTAGAAAACTGACTAATAATGAGACCTTTTCGGCACTGCTAAATTTAAAAAAATAGAGGTGGACTACAAAGCCATCAGTTGATGTCGTCAAAGTTTGTAAGATAGCTGAAACCACTTTCAGAACTATGAAATATAATATTTCAGCGAATGTTATTAATATTTTTACAATTAAAGAATTAAAACCATTAGATTACTAAATTTCAGAAATATGTTTAATGTCTTAAATGACCACATTTTGGATCAAGATCCACTTAACAATCATGTAGTCCAGTTGGTTTATGTAATTTTACGTACTTTTTTTATTATTAGACTGAATTATGAAAACAGCAGAAATAATCAAGTTCCTAATAAAATCAGACAGGTATACACAAAATTAATTTTGTTCAATAAATTGTGTATTTATATTCATTTTGTATTGTATGTATATACAGTTTCCTACAAAATAAAGAAAAACGACAACAAAGCTGAATTTTAAAATCATTTTTACATGATCTCCTATTTAACTCAACGGCACCGAAGCTCGTTCTTGCCTACCGATACGTGTTGGCCTTGTCTAACAACACTCCCTGTAGATATGTTTATTTCTCTCTCTAGTTGTCACCGCATGCGAGCGGTATTATGCGCCTCAACATTCCATCCATTAGTTATTAGATCATTGGATATTCTCCTTCTTTTAATATCTAAACCAGTCACTATATTGCTAACGACTTTACCCATTTACCAATTTCATTAACTCCAACGGGACTATTTTTATACCACACTGCATTTTGTATTTTGTTCCAAAAAAGATTGGGTGTTAATTCTGTCAGTGTTTATGTTATTTTCTCTTTTCATCATTAGTAGATGATACAGCCTATAAAATAGAACAGCTTAATACACGACATAAAATGCGAAAGAAAAATACCTAACGGGGCCGAGGTTGGGGTTGTCTTTATTTTTGGTCAACCATTTACTACTTGCCAGTGGTTTTGAACATCCTTGTGTTATTTTTAAAAAGACAGGAGTATATTCAATCCGGCCTGTAACAAGTCCTTTATTGTCAAGTTCTGGCTTAAAATAGTATGTGAAACAACTGGCTCCTTCACCACCACGCTAATTTAAAAGATGCTATTAAAAAAACGTCTTTTGCAAACCGTCTAGTGTATTTTCATTTAAAATTTGTACTATATTTAAGAATTCATTTTCAGTTAGCGCAGCTGAGTTTACTGTCCTTTTTTCTGGTAGTGTTTGAAGTTTTCTTCGGGTAGCGTCTCTGGCGTCTCGTGCTGCCTTGAAACATGGATCCGTAAATGGATTTATTTTAATATTCCACTCATTGAAATATTTTTCTTGAACTAGCTTCGCTGTTGTATTAAACATGTGTTTAATTACATTTTCCTTGTAATCAGTACCATCTTTTTTTATGTTAAAGGTCCAACTTTTCAAAATAGTATTTAAACTCCCAGAAGAAGTAGACTGCTCCAAATTGTAGCTCTTTTCTTTCAAAAAGCTAGAAAATTGCCGCCATACCGAGTCGTGTGATTTTTTTGTGTTCCATGGTGTGCTTTTGGATATCTCGGCATCTATTTCTTCTTGTGACTTTGACCCAAATCTCTTTTCTTGCATTTGCATGTTGAAATCACAGAAAAACATCAAAAACTACATCAGATGTCACGGAGGTTTTACTTAAAAAAAAAAATGCTTATTATCTTGGTTGATATAGAAATGAAGGAGTGTGTAACTTAATTTTTCTTACTTTAATTAATTCAACTTAATTGTTGATTCATGGAATAGTCCCCTCGAATACCATGCGTAGTCAAAGTTAAGTGCTTCGCACTCGTGGTATTTAAATCCAAGCGTAATGTCCATTCGGGACACCACCGCAAAAATATTCGACATAACTTTGACTACTTACGATATTATAAGTGAGAATTTACCTCAGGTAGTTTTAGCCAATAAAAACGCTTTATTTTTAAAAATTCGACCAATCAGATTCATAGAAAAAAAATTATTTCGAAAATTTTTTTGGCGTAAAAAATTATCGCGATAATTTTTTTATGTCAATAAGTCAAATAACTCAAAACATTGTTGATTTATTTTGAACTGTCAGAATTAAATATAAAAGTACACTTATTATAATTATAGGTACTATTAGAAGACGCCTTCGCTTGCAGCTCATTGGTTGCAGATACGACAGTGTTCGATTCCTTTTCTTGCAAACGCATTTTCTTAATGATTTGTTCATGGTGTTCTGTGTCAATTTCCAAATAAGGCGCCAGTGAACTAGTACTAGCATGACCTGTAATTTTTATAATTTGTTGTTCGTCAAGTCCAGATTTTGCCAGGTGTGACACAGCCGTAGCTCTGTTGGAGTGGTTGGTTATATTGATGTTACATACGTCTAAACCAATTTTTTCTGCTGCCAATTTGGTCCATTTTCCTATTTCGTTCTTGCCTACAGGACAATTTTTGTACCATGGGGAGTTGTCGTTTTGCCATTGCGGATTCGGAGTTAAAAAAAATCTCTCCGTAGTAATATTTATGGTCCGTTTTGACGAAAGTTTCTTGAACAATCTAAATAAAAAATAGATACCATGAAAACCGCAACTGGAGTTGTTTGGCTGTATGAAACCTACCTTACGGGACAAATATTTAGGTCGTCCTTGTTAGCAATTAACCATTTACTGTTGGCCAAGGGTTTTGCACCTCCTTGTGTAGTTTTTGAAAACACCGAATTGTATTCTATTCTGCCAGTTTCCTCTCCCTTATTATTTTTTTCAATTTTAAAGTAATGGAGTAGACAATTAGCCGCCTCCCCACCACGCCATGCAAGTTCATACGCTGAAATTTGGTAGAATTTCTTTTGTAAACCGGCTGGTGTGTCCTCGTTCCAAGCTGTCACCATTTTTCGTATTTCATCACCAGAAAGAACTGTTGAACTACTTCTTCTTTTTTTTAATGAACTTTGCAAAGTTTTTCGTTTAGCATCACGAGCCCTTCTTGCTTCGTTAAACGTTGAGTCAGAAAAAGGGTTGAACTTAATATTGTACTTGTAGTCGTACATTTCTTGGACTTCTTTGGCAACTACATTCCAAAGCGTCTTTACGACACACTCCTTATATTCCTCACCATTCTTACGCCTCATATTGTAGACCCAATCTTTCAAAATGTTGGCGATTTCTTCAATGGATCTTTGATGGTCCAGTACATAATTTTTCTCCTGACAAAAGGCATTAAACTGTTTCCACGCAGATTTTTTTGATTTTTTTGTATTTTCTGGGATAGAATTAATAATTGCTTCATCAATAGTTTGAAAACAGGAACTTCCAAATCTTTTAGAAGTGCACATTTTTCTCGTACGTAATAGTTATTTACGTGGCAAGCTTAGTAAATTAGCCTTTACGGGCGAGCCGGAATGTTTGCAGGGCGAGCGACGTAGGAGCGAGCTCTGTAATCCGGTGAGCCCCAGTAAAGGCTAGTTGCAAGCGAGCCGCGTACAACGTTTTACTTCCTCTTGCTGAAAATCCTGAAAATGAACAACTTTGGCATCTCTAGAAATTTTACTTGAAATTACAGTCATAGAAATTATAGTCATTTTTCATAGTTTGCTCCGGTAACTATGGAAAATTGAATTGTTTGAAAATAACGGGACTGTCAATTTGTAAATTCGATTAATAATTTAAATAGTTTAATTTTGTTTCTGAGCTCTGTTAATTGTGGAATTCGATGAAGATGAAGAGTTTGAAGGTGATTTTAACGTTAGTATTAGCACAGTATTAGTGAGATTAAGAAAAAGGCCGACGCAGCGAATGTGTGTTTGATTCCGGTGCTGTCATGACAACGTTTTACAGGCACGGTGCCTGTAAAGCTGCCACGGTAACGCTTTACAGGCAGGGTGCGTGTAAAGGCTAATTTACCGAGTTAGTTCAGACGACAGTAAACGAGCTTTAACAAGACAAGAGGAAGTAAATTATTTTACTTTTAATAAAATTATTGTTTACGTGTCATTGCCATCGATACTAACTATATTGGCAACTTGATAGAACTGTTGAATATAATAAAGTGCCGTTCATCAACGGTGGTTCCTTCGGCAAATTCTCATATAAAATACCACACGCGATGGAAATATTATCGATAATTTTTTTATGAAGCACGAGTGTCTGCTGTTGTAATAATTCCCGACTGCGAAGCAGGAGGGAATTAAACAGCAGACACGAGTGCTTCAGAAGAAAAATTATCTGAGAATATTTCCATCCCTAGTGGTATTACTATTGAATATTTTGAGGGTAATGAAGACCACGGTCTTCATCGCACCATATATTACCGCCAAAATCGTTTTGATAGCATGGATAAAAACAATTTTCGGAAAAGGTTTAGATTATCGCGCCGATGTGTGTTGCAGGTTCTTCAATTGATAGAAGATAGATTAGAATTTCCTTTTGATACGTAAGTATGAATAATAATCTAGGTAATATAAGAATATTTTCAAAATTTGTCAAACACCAAACCATGGACAAAGTTGTATGCATAAAAATGTTTTCTTCTAAAAATAATGCCGTCTCATCAATGAATCGGTTGTTTATTTGCTTGCGTTATTATTCCGGAGGCCATCTGCAAGCAGTAGCAGATTTTGCAGGTACCCATATAGATTGCTACTGTGAGATTTTTTTGAAATTTCTTCGTTTCCTCGAGTTTCAGGGGCGATTGACTGCATACGCATTAAAATTCAATCACCTGGTAAAATAGTCATTTTTATTTAAGTACATATATATTATGATAGTGACCTGATAATTAATTTTTCTTTAGGACGCAGACATTTTTCGAAACAGGAGAGGCTATTTCTCTATAAATACGCAAATGGTTTGTGATTAGAATTTATGAATTTTAAATGTTGTGGCCAGGTGGCCGGGTTCAACCCATGACGCTACAATCTTTAATCGCAGTAGTTTGTGTCACCAATTTGAACACAATTTATTTCGTAATTGTTTGCTGTTACGTAAACAGAGCTTTCCATAATTCAATTTTGATACTGTTAATATCTTTTATAGCAGACAGTGGTTATGGAGTCAGAAGATACTTATTTACTCCCACTTTAAACCCAGCTACAGAAGCTGGACAATTATATAATCAAACTCACATCAGAACAAGAAATGTCGTAGACCGATGCTTTGGTGTGTTAAAACGAAGATTTTCTGATTTCGCTTATGGCTGCCGTTTAAAACTTGAGACAATTTTAGAAATCATGGTGGCAACATCTATTTTGCATAATATAGCAATAAACATGGGCGAGGAGGAACCTCCGCCAATTCCTGAAGTGGTACATGTCGTACAACAACAACTAATAAATGATGGGCAAATACCGCCTATTGAAAATGTGAACCATGTTGAACATCAAGTTAGAAAAAGCACTGCACTAGGAAGAATATTTATTAATAACTATTTTAACTGTTTGTAACATTTTACCTGTAATAATAAATTAACTACAACAATACTACACTAGACTTTACTACTTCAAGTTTTCAAGTTCCCTCTGTTTAATTTGCAATTCAGTTTATAAAATTTCTTTTTCCAAACATTGTTTTCTTCGATCTGCTTCTACTTGTGCAGTCCAGCTCTGCCTTAATTTTTTTTCCTGTTGTCCAGTTCTGCAACTTCTTGGCGCGTGGAAGCCACGTCTTCGTAGGTGCGAGCTATATTAGCTGTTGGACTATTTAGGCATCTTTAGGCCGTCTAATCTTCCAATTTCTGTTTAGCTCATTTCTTTTTACTTTTTTTGACACTTGCAGACTACTGGGTGCCGCAGCATTTCTGCCTTAAATGACCCCCAGTCGTCCTTACTTTCAATATTAACTTGTATTAAGTAAAATTTAAGCACTTTTAATTTTGATAAATTATTCATACGTTTCCAATATCATGCACATTGCTAGCATTACTTGCTTCTGCTACATTATTATTGTTGACACAAATAGAATCATTATTATCATCAGTAATTACATCAGTAGATGTTACAGGTATTTCTGATACAACTTCATTTGTATTTACGTCCAAATCATACAGGTTTACCAATCCGTAGACACGTTTACGATTTAATATATCTAACGTTAAGTTGTTGCTTGCAGCAGTGCTGCTTGTAGGCCCGGAACAAGAAGGCCCGCCTCCGGTCTTATTTATACTAATTTTTTCACATGCCGGACTTTCTGTGGCAATTTTTTTTTTATTTTCATATATTTTTTTTTTTAATTTTCCGGGGTTCTTTTACGTGAACTAAGTGCGTTGAAACGCTCCGTAATATTTTTGCATTTAGCCTCCTTTTGCCGCCAAGTAACCCCATAGGTCTTCTTGCACTCTATAAAATGTTTTTCTTTTGCTATTAGCTCCAGGCAGTACAATTTATCATCGTCCGTAAAATTTGGACATCGTTTTTTTTTTGTCCACTTTCTTCCGTCATAATTCTGAAATATTCAGAATCATATTAATAAATCATAATAATCTATGTATAATCTAGCAATTTTTACCTCTTTTCTAGTTTTTTGTGTAACAGTTTTTTTAACGTTGACACTGACACATAAAAAATTAAAAATTATTATGTCTGGCTGTTTTTAATTTCTCTATAAATTTTAAAACGCCATGTTGTCGTATTGATTTTTCAGTAAACTTGACGCTTAATTAAGCGGTTTACGGTGCAAAACAAAACTAACTTAACGGACGCTTAAAAAACTGAGATTAATGCACATCTGTCACTATCAAACATTTTGGTTGCCATGGAGATTCCGGTAACTAGATAATCGCAAAATTTTTAAAAGTCGGAGTTAGAACCATGGTTCTCAAGGGTCCAGATATAGGCTTTTCGTGGCGAGGCCGACCCTTCATATGCGTAACATTTGCAATGTACTTATCCTATCAAACAAAAAACAACTGCTTTTTCAGAATTGCAGTATTTTAGTATTTATATTTGTTTTCAAAATATAAGACCGGGGAGTGTTATCTAGGACAGCTGTATAGTGCCTACTTTTAAAATATCCATATACGTCATGTAATTTGCAAATGAAATGCCTGCATATTAAAAAATATATATTGTAGCCAATTGTGTTCATAATTCGCGAGGAATTAATCTTCAGCCGTCCGAACGTTGGAATATCGTGTATATTATAAATACTTCATTCTAATCTTTTAAATAAAAATATGATTTAAAACAGTTCAAGCAATCGAAATTTTTAGAGCAACATTTAAAATCTTTTCCATTTAAAAGCCGTTGTTCGATGTCTTCATATTAACCGAGCGGTTCAGCAAATTTTTTTGCTAAACTGTTTGTCATATCCTTTTAAACATACATTGTACAAACGATGAAAATACAATGACGAAAACAGATTTACGTAAATGCGAATGTATTTTTAAATTCTGATTTTGTGGAGTGGAAGTTTTCATTTATTAACGCACCCTAAAGAACATTATTGCAGAGAACATTAAAAAGGGAGTAGAACCATAATGGGATGTTGGGCATCTAATTTGCGAATGCATGCAGCCAATATCGAAATTGAACAATAACGAGTTTCTAAAAATAACAGCCATTATATGGACGCCTGATGCACTGCAACCCATTCATCATTTTTCAGATATAGTTGTGGTCCCACCGCACCGCTCAGTTGTTGAGGAAAGTAGTTCTAGTCGACTTGTTTTAGTCGCTAATCAACAGTACGTTGTGCACGAGCGTGAACGCGGTTATCTTTCCAGGTGTTGTTCTAACCTCAAAGTTTTACGCGCCTGATTGTTTTGCTAATTATCTTTTTGCGCTTTTCCGGACTCGTGTGCATTAATTATGTCCAAAACACGAATTGATAAACTTTCCACCGCGTCTTTTGCCATTTGGTTTTTCGCATAATTCAGCTGTGTTGCCCTTATGACTGTTTCTTCGTCGAACAAAATGGGAGGAATAATTGTAATTTGCACCTGCGTTCTTCTGCTGTCACACCAGCAATGTAAGTTAGATTTTAAACGTTTTATTTTTAGTCAATCACCACATCTGATTCGTTTGCCAAATTCCAATTGAACAAATAATTGCTACGAAAGCAGGCTGTCAGAAGATGAAAATGTCAACAATGTCACATCACACGTCAAATTGACGTTTGCACTTCTGCATTTTTGTGAAAAAAATGTCATTTGAGAAATTTAAAAAACTTTTTTTTGTCTTGGAAGCTTTGTTATGATTTAATATTGCGAATAGATTTATAGAGTGTGGACTTCCGCACATATCTATGCGACTCGATGTAAAATGACACCTGTTGAAAATAGCATTATTACGTCTGATGCCTACCAGACTCTGTGATAACCCTGTTAAACTAAGTGGTATGTGCAGAATTTGCAACAATGTTTGTTTTGCAATAAAAATAAAACTTGACTTCAACAGCTCGTGAATACTGAAAGAATCCAGAACATTTTTTATATTCAGTTTACTATTATAAGAATTTTTGCCAGATTTTAAATGTGATATTGTTAATAACGCTTATTACGTATTATAATAAAAAAACCGTGGACATAAAATACCAAGTAAATTCCATTCAATGTTGAAATGTTTGTTTATAACACTATCAAAGTTATAAGGTCCTTGGTCTTACAAAATTAGTAGAATTCTAGAAATGAATTACAAACAAAAGTTACTTAACACTTGAAAATTAAAAGTAAGAACGGTTCCAATAGTCTGTCGTGGTGTCCACGTTTTAAATTTATATTGTCAGTTTTCATTAGATCTTTTATTTTAATTTTTGGAATAATAAGGGCAACATAATTAATTATCGATAAATCATAAAAATTACCCAAGTATGTAAGAGTTATACGTACTCTTTGCAAATAAATGCGAAGCCGCAGGATCGAGTTAATAGTTACTTGACTGCCCACTTATAGGCTCTTACACAATTTTTTGAAAAAAAAAAGAAGCTTTAGTTTAGTTTTTTTTATTACACAAAACTTTCGATTTTTTAGCTTGTGGTTCGTAAATTGCGTTTGCTGTTCTCAAAAAAGCGAGCGCGATTTACTCATACATACCAACTTTTTTTATTTCAAGTGTAGGCATCTAACCTTCAGCAACGCGATCTCTCAATTTTTTTTTGTTATTTCAGAAAATTTTATTTCTTAGAAAATCTTAAGGCAAGATACGGTTACTAATGTTTTTTATTAAACATATAATGTACGTAAATAACCTTGGACCATTTTTTTGTAAAGTGTGCCTACTAAATTTTTTAATCCTTTTTAAAGTACGGATAAAAACACTATTGCTATTAAAAAAACCTGTCAATGATGTCACACTTGCCAATATTGGGCATAAAAGTTCAAATTGGCTCTTTGATGTTGGGCGTGCACATAAAATATTCTGTTCCAGTGTATTTGATCAAAATGAGTTTTGAAGTTTTTGTCGAATTTATTTCAGTTTTATAAACGCGGCAATAGATATTATCTTACCATTATATTTTATAGCCAATTACAATAAGACCTGTTTCATTCAGGTACAAACATTTTGCTGTCGTATTTTGAACAGCGTAACCACCACAAAATTATTCTAATATTGAGTCTATTAGAGTGATGTCATCATGTTCATAATCTGTCATGGAGGGCATTTTTGGTGGAAATACGACGAATATGGTGATATTCTGTAAATAGTAAATAAATAAACAAATAATATGCCGTAATCTTGATTGAAAAATTACAAGGGTGCTTTAAATTATAGCAAATGATAAATTGACATGTTTTGATGTAATAAGGGAGTTTTTTTTTTCACAAACCTTAACGGGTCCGTCCTCGATGTTCCATAGTATCCAGACTGTTAACATGTCTAATATTGGGCCAAATGGTCTGTAGCTTTAAAAAAATACTAGAAATATGACAATAATAACTTTTATTTGCTATTTTTAGTTGTTGCCTTTTAAATCGACGATTTAAATTTTAAATTACAACTGGTGTACAAATTATATGACATTACATTGTACATGTACTTGACACAAGCAAAATTTCACAGTAAAGCTATAATAGTTATTAATGATACCAGCTCGATGTGGACATCATAATGAAACGCGTATGATAAGTGATAACTAATAAGCAAACATGTAGCACTTAAGTTTTATTATGATGCAGAATCAAGCGTGTATCATTCAACATTTTATCTACGACGGTCTTAAAAATGTAAAACTTTCAATTTGGAACTTTCAACATTAATGGGTGTATTTCACGGTGATGTAGTAACCGCATATTTTTAAGTTTAAACAACGCTACAAAAAGTCTCATATTTTAAAATATTTTTTAAGAGAGGCGTAGGTGAGTGCCTACAACTAAACAGTATTCATCGAATGTGGAGGTGACAGAGAAAACGTGCGTTCATTGTTTCCTGAGAAATCAAAAAAAAAAAAAAAAAAATACGGGAAAACCACTCGAAAGTTCGAAGAATGATGAAAAATTAGACTATTTAAGAATATTTACCACGAGAACCTTTCGAAATGTTTATCCGAAATAATAAAATATCTAACGAAAACAGATGATAAACAATTTTTGATGACTAAAGTTGTGTTGTTGATTATGGCAACTTAGCACGCGTCTGCAAGAGGGATGAATTTACTAATTTAATAATAAGCATACAAGTGTTTAATACCGGAGCCAATGTTCCCATTTTATGATACCGAATATTAAAACAACGATACCGAGGTGTTTTTTCGTGGTAATATTAAAGGAATAAATATGGTTGAAATTATGCATAGGTATGCTGCGATGCGACAAAAAAATTCAAAACATACTCGCTTTTTTGTAGCATGCAAAAACCGACAATGTATAAATTAGTCTGTGGAAATTAATATGTTTGGAAAAATACCAAGCGTAATTGGCTCTTTTTTGAGCCTTCCCGATTCAGAGGAGTATACAGGGCATTGTTTCCGACGATTACCTGCGTCATCGCTTGCAGATTATAGAGTCGATCTTCTCACTGTAAAGATGCGTGGTGAATGGCGTTCCAGTATCTTGCCTAGGGCTATATAGAAACCTCAGAAGAAAATACGAAAGTTGCATCAAATATTTTAAGTAACAGTTAGTTCAAATCATTATCAAAATTCTTTATCATTGTCAACTCATCTATTAACTAATCTAATAAATGTAGGCCCACTGTAATTTAGTTTTCAAAAAGGTAGGTCGTTTACGGCATTATTTACAAATATAAAATCTTGTTAATAAAGTCAGATTAGTTTTTAATTTTTAAGTTTTGTGAAAAAATTGATGCTCATAATTACACGTTTGTCATTAAAAACTTATGATAACAATCACGTGATTGTGGCTAATTGGCGTAGTGATACAGTCGGAGATAATTTGTTTTTAATAATAGAAGGATAATATGTAAATAAAAATCTTATAAGCCTTTTTTTTTTTAATAAGCAAGCAACAGTTTGCGCAACTACATACATATTTACCAACGCTTTTATTTTTTACTAGTTTATAAAATAAAAGTGGTGGCATAAAAAATTACTTAACGAAGTTTACCTTTCAGAACTTTTTGTGTTATAATAGCTTGAAGGTGTTTGCAGTTTTTTCCACAACTCTGGAATATATTGACAGATTCAAAACAAACTTTATTCACACATTTTATGTATTCACAAGTCAAGCTTTCATTAAAGTTTGTTAACTATACATATGTATTATGTTACACTTTTATGTTTTAATGTTTTGGGAAAATTAACATCGAATTTTCATTATCCTTTTGTGGCTATGATGTAAAGGAAAATATAAATAGAAATATAGATCTGGACTATTTTGCAAACATATTTATTAATCAAACATAAGGTAAAAAAAACGTAACACCAACCATCTAAACGCGTTTTTCCACTAGTAGCATTACAATGGCTAATTGTCGACTTGTCTAGAGGTCTGTAATTTGGAAAATTGTGAACCTTGGTCAATAATGTAAACGTGAAGTTGGCCACCTAATGTGACAACTGTCCACAACTGTCAGAAAAACTGAGACATAACCTGAAAACGATCATTTTGGAAAATTTGCTTTTAAATTATGCCCTGGAATGATTTCCAAACCCTGAATTGATTATAAATTGAGGATAAATTGGTGAAACAAAGTTGATGAAGTTGACGGGAGTGAAAATGAAGTTTACGGGACTGAAACTGAATCATGGTTCCGATTTGGTTTGACTTGATTTGCCGTAGATGAGCTTTGGACGATTTCGGCGATTTTTTTTTTTATTGAAGATCGAGCCGTCGTTGTATCCTTCTGCTATGCTGGAGGATTTCCATTCCCCGTGTCGCTTTAACGATAAAAGGTCCATACCTTTTTCAGCCAAATTTGTCGCGGTCGCGTAAGTACGACGGAATGAGGAGGGGTACATGATGGTTCACTTTACAACATTTTTCACACAAAAATTTATTAAAAACGGGAAATATGGAGGAAACTAAAACAAAAGTTCTGGACCATTTCTGGATTGTCAAAAAATAATAAAATTCCAAAGCTTACTAAAATGACGTGAGTACACATTTTTATTGATGCACTTCAGAAAAAACATTTTGAAAATTCGCAAACCTCAAATGGGCTACTAGTGGAAAAAATAGTATATTAACCACGTTTGTGAAGCCAATTCTAGACCTCGCGCTTTAGAGCCCTCGACGCTGCGCGTCTCAGGTTCTAATTTGCGCTCGGTCTAGAATGTCTGTCTTCACAACCTTAGTTAATAATATACTATTTTATAATATTCCGTGAACAGCGGCTTCATTAATACTCCTGTGGTTGTTCTGTAGCAGTACTCTTCATCAAAGGGCTTATTTTTCTTTTATATTTGTTGCTTTAATTGTCTGAATGTCGAAGTTGACTAATTTTCTTCTTATACTATATTCTTTAACCAAAAGCGTTCTACTGGCCGTAACTAGGGGAATATTGGGAGGATTTTCACATTTTTTGACATGTTGTATGTCTAAGTTTGAAGCTTAGTAACTGGTCTGACTGGGG